TGTGAGGAACAAATTAGCTATGAGCTGACCATGACGGATAGTTCATATTAAAAATGTTCTTGTATACTGTGTTGAATTCTCCAATGCATTACATTACATGATACTTGTTAGACGCTTTTATCCAAAGGCGATTTACATACTCAATACTGTGAATCCCCACATGAGCAATTTGGGGTGAAGTGTCTTGCCCAGGGACACAACGACATGCTGACTGCAGTGGGGTTTGAACCTGTGACCCCCCTGATCCGAACACCTACACACAACCCACTGCACCACGCCCACGCACAACCCACTGTGCCACACGCCTCCCACATGTATTATTGACTTTACTGGGAAACTGATCCTAGCATCCTTATTATTTATTCAAGTCATGGTTACAGCTGCTGCATCCTCCACTCTCCTTTCTCCTCATTCACCTCTACTATTATTCCACACCTGTCCACCAGCTATCACTATTTAGGGTGTCACTTCAGCCCATTACCTGACCCTGTCCTCTGTCAAACCAGCTTCTCCTATTTCTCTCTAGTTTTTGTGTGTACTATATATATAAAGAAGTGAGCTGTCAATCACTCTGTTTCCTGTTTGCACCTCGTCTGGTCACCTTCACCCTGTCTTTCGAATACCAGCTCTCCTCTGGGTTTTATTTGACTGTCAACCCAATGTGTAGTCTACATTGATTGTCTTTTCTATAATCAAGACTATTCTTACCACCCTGTTTTGCTGTGATCCAATCTTACAACTTAAAGAGGACAAATACTTTTTAAGGTTCATATGTTTATTTAGTGCCTCTACTGTGACATGTTTGCTTGCTTTAATAATGTTCAAAAAGCTCTTTATTTTTGCTGCAGCACTTCTTGTCACACTGTCTGAAACCAGAGCCCAGTCTGCTCTGATTGGTTTGCTTGCAGTATTTTTTGTCATTAGTCAACCTCCTAGAGCCCCTTTTATATTTTATATTGTTGGATCGATTCAGTTGTCTTGTGTCTTATCTGTCAGAGAGAAACCATTATTAATTTTAATTGTATTTGTATTATCATACATTTTACCTCCTTGTGTCTATTAACCTAATACAATGTTATATTTTGCTGCATGTACCTGTAAAGTTCTTAACAAATAATTTCTTGTTGTTTATTTTTAACTTGTGATGTGTCCTTTTGTAAAGCACTTTGAGCTGCATGTGTTGTATGAAAAGTGCTATATAAATAAAGCTTTATTATTGTAATTATTACCCTATCACATACAATACATTTCAGCGATAGCCAATAGAAGAGCAAATGTTGCACAGTGATGTCATCATGTTAGGGAAGTAATCAAAGGAGTCCAATGGAGGCGTATTACGCAGAAGGGAAGAGTGTGTGGGAGAGAAACTCCTTCTGGAGGGAACACAGGGATGTTTGCCTTTGCAGACCATTTACATGCACAGAAACCCACTACAGGAAGTGCAAATCAAAACAGGGCCCCTTCAAACAAGAATGTGCATAGCTTATAGTTTACTGGAAAACATATCTCAAACATCAAATCATTTTGCTAAAAGCATTTAGACTCCAGTTTATTTGTGCAAAGAATGATACAAATATGATTAGATGATGCCCCTGGTTCAGGCAGTCTTATATTCATGCTTCATGCCAACCTGTGATTTCAACAGTGGCTTAATGATATGTCATTTTGTAGATTCCAGAAGACAGAACATAAACAGGTTTTGAGCTCAGGTTTCTTCTAAGACTGCATCATTGAACTGTTTGTTGTACTTCTGCTGTGATGGTAGACATGATGGATGCACAACAATAAGATCAGGTTATGCCTTCCAATCGTAATATTGCACTTTGTGAATGAGTAATAACCATATCAGTCACAACCGGAGCAAAGCTTTGGACCATTTGGTTGACAAATGCAATGCCAAGATAATGACTCTAAGGGGAACATGCACTCAAACTAGTATAAACTACCTAAAAGCAAGATATACAGATAATACTGAAGAGACACAATTAATCACGTTAAGACAGGAAGAATGCTTTGTTAATAGTTCAACATTTTCCGATGTACTGTGTGTTTAATTCACCTTTTGATGAGAATTAGTAGGAAAAACAACCAGCCATATAATGATCAAGTGCAAGGGTGAAGCATGGGCCTAATAAGAGTCTATTTACATTACATTACATTGCATTTAGCTGACGCTTTTATCCAAAGCGACTTACAATAAGTGCATTCGACCAACAAAATACAAACTAGAAGAAGACAGAATCATATAAGTACATCAGGTTTCAAAGAGCTAAAACATTTCAAGTGCTGCTCAACTGGCTTTAGATAAGCCAGTCCTTTATTAGTATATAAGTGCTTTGTTAATAGTTCTATCGCTCAATATTTCCTTTTGAAACATCCAAACCACAGGGAAAATACACAAATTATGTTATCCTTTGGTTAACATTGCAATACTGATGTCAAAACAAGCTGGAAAATGATTTTGATAGAGTAACAGCTTTCAGTGGCGGCAGTAACATGGTATGGGGCTATATCTCCATCACTGGCAAAACAAGGCTTTTCACCATTGAAAGCCATCTAAATGCTAAATAAATAACTTTACGAGATCTCACAGCCAGTGGCGATTCTATATCTCCACAATCTGGGAGCCATCTCCATTCTCCAAGATGACAATGCCTGCCCTACAGAGATGAGGTTATCACAGCCTATACCTTCACAATGTGGGAGAAGAGAGAATGGAATAGCCTGGGTACCGCCCAGATCTCAACCCAAACACCACCTCTGGGATCAGTTCTCCTTAAATATGATCAAAGCAGTTGGATTCAAAACATCAAAGCCAATATAGCTGTTTGTTCTAGCTGGACAGTCTTTTACTATGCAATGCCTGATTTAGAAACATCTGGTGTGTGTTGCATCACGCTTACAAAAACTGCACACTCAATTGTGCATGTATAAATTAAGTTGCCCAAACAAGCTGACAAAAGATTTCACTGACATTGTGTGTAAGCAAGATTTACATAACTACATTAAAGGGATGGGATTCTCTCTGTGTTAATCCTGTTTGAGAGGATAACTTCATTATGATAAATGTTCGTTTTTAACCTAAAGCTCTTTACTCAAAAGTCCCTGAGCATGACAAACCGTGCTCTAGTTTCAACGGAGATCTGTTTCAATTCTATGCCTCAGTCTCAAAAGACGGAGCTGAATTTAGCTCCAAATCTGAACGCACCACAGGTGATCATCAACTATCACTCACGATTTCCTGTCCTACATTTTTTTAAATAAATATCTGTTGGCGTGACGAGAGGATACAAAGTTGGATTTAACATTTAAGAATCCAATTTGATGCTTCATGTTGTGGCCTTTCGTTTCATGAGCACCTTTTAATCATAATCTAAATCAGAAAGTCCATTTTTAAATTACATTACATGATACTTGTTAGACGCTTTTATCCAAAGCGATTTACATACTCAATACTGTGGACAATCCCCACAGGAGCAATTTGGGGTGAAGTGTCTTGCCCAGGGACACAACGACATGCTGACTGCAGTGGGGTTTGAACCTGTGCTCCCCTGATCTGAACACCAAAGCACTATTCCACTGCGCCACACACCTCCCTGAATTACAGTCTGCTCACAACCTCTCCATGGGTCCATTTGGATTCTGGATTAAATTTGATGAACGCAACTGAAGATTACAGCGCAAAGTCATTATCAGCAGTTCTGCAGAAATTAAACTCTTCACATACAGGTGCTATGCATCCCGACAGCTCACATCCTCGTGTTCGTTAAAAATAAAGTGGATTTGAGGGGCTGTTGCAATCAGTTAGCGTTTGAATAGCCTAGCCGAGTTCCCAACACAGCTGTCTGCCAACTTTAACATAGGTGCTGTGTGGGAACCGACATGGCTCCAGCCAGACTGGATATTACATCTAATTAACATGAGCGATTGAACTCAGTGCCTCAAAGTAATGGTTTAGAAATGGAAAACTGTAATACCTCTGATGATCCAATGTTCCACAACTGCTTTCAGGAAACCCGCAGCAACAATTTCAAGGTAGCACTGCGTACTTTGTCATGCTTAACTTTGAATTCTTCATGTTAAAAACAAACAAAGATAACTGAATTTAGGCAAAGCTGAACTTGTTGAGCAACCAATAAGCTCCTCAAAGTGTATAGAAAAATTACAAGAGAATGAGAGACTTGAACTTTAGGTTGTTCCAGCTAAATGTCACTTTCTTTTGTGATATTGTTTCTGGCATATGCGGGCAACCCATGTTATCTCACATTTCTAAGATGTCTTCTCTCGTTACCTTTACCTGTCTACTGAAGCATGAATGCCAACATTTTCTTTCAAAATAGTTCACTTCCTCAGAAATGCTGTGGGAATCTGAGGATATGGTGCAAAGTAGTTCAACTCAGTTCTCCAGTCTCACTTTAAAGACCCCATGCATAAGAATTTTTTTTTTGTGTTGGTGTTTTCCCAAAATATGAAGGCTTAAAACTAAATGCAGCAGCCAGCGGCAAGGACCAGGATAAATACAAACAGTGGGGATTCCCGTTTCTTATTTTACAAGCAAAACTGTTGATTTCCATAAAAGAAAAACTAATTGTGTCTATTTGAGAGTTCCTTGTCCGATTCGAGGGTCTAAGAAAAGAGGGTGTAGTATTCAGTACAAACTGTAAAGCCCCCTGAGACTAATGTACCATTTTTATATTGGGCTATTAGATAAACATGGACACAATCATTTGATGCAGCTTGTGAGTTTCAGTGAAGATGCGTTTCACACAAATTGAAATGACATTACTTTATCCATAGAGTAAAACTTGTATGAATGGAATTCTTCCAACATTTTTTTTAGATCAATGTGTCATTTTTGTGCCCGATAGTTTGTGGCATTTGCAACTCAAATAACAATTACATTTTGAGGTTATTGCTGCACAAACACAAGGAAATCAGTCAAATAATAAGGGCTCCAGCAGCAATCTTTACTGTTTGAGAGTTGTATTTTTATTTGCATATTTGTAACATCTACTCACATTTGATTGACATAGTTTAAGATCAGTAAGACATTCTCCTTCTTGATTTCATTAACCCCATATCATTATTCAGAGAGGACTCATGTAAAATGTGTGTTATCAACTATATTCTCCCCGGTGCACGATACAAATTAATCAAGAGCACACTGCTTTCATGTCACAACACTGCACACACACACCGAGCTCCATGGGGAGTAGATGGGCATGAGGCCATGAGCTGTGGAGAACCACTGGTGTGGACAGAAACATAAAAGACTGCCTATAAAAAAGGGATATTTTTAAGCGCAACACACAGTGATGTCATTATCCAAGATGTTTTAATAGCATGATTTGTGAAGTAAAAGTTTGACAGTATACTCCTCTTTTAACAGCCATGAGGGCATTTCTGTATAGGAAGCTTTCACCAAATGTTAGCTAGGAGAATTCAAAAAGGACCATTTCCATGTTTTTTTCTAAAGACAGCTTTACAGTCATTTAATGGGATTTCAAGGGGTTTTATAAAACCAAGCACATTGTTTGTGATGAATGAATTTGGCCTTTTCTTGATGTTTTTACACGACGGTCTTCCGCTTTATTAGATCTTTGAGATGGCGGACAGCACGGAGCCGGTCAGCACGACAACGGACGCCAAGGAGAAGATTAAACAGTTGCTTAAACCCTGAGAGGAAAAATCACATGGAGGGCTTTACTCAAAATGTAGGGTTAGGGTGTTTTCCTTGATTTCAAATATTGAAGAAAATACTGAAAGTTGAAAAGCTGTTAACCTTCATCTGGAGGAAGTCATGTTCTCCTTGTTAAACTATGTAGTATACTCATACAAGGAGGAATGTAAGATTTACAACCAGATTGATGATAATCCTTACCCTAATCTCTTTGAACACCAAGGATCCCCACAGAGCCGCAACCAGACCGTATCCCTGCAGAGTAAACAAAGCACAAATTAAAGATTCAAATCATTTACTTTTAATATTTTTGAAGATCTCATAAATCAAAGGTTTTTAAAAGTATGCCAACAAGTGTAATTGCCTGAGCAAGCAATAATGTCAACATAACAGTAAGGGGGAATACGCAATGCAGGAGCTCATTATGCCACCAGAACAAACAGCAGGTTCTTCCATCTAACATTAAGTCTGGCTAAATTGCTCCGAGAGAAACTGACTGGTTATTAACATAACCCGTCAACTTTTGCTAAGGTCATCATTTCAAAACCATCCCCTTTCTTAATGAAACTCGTATTAAAAGCCAATTTCTACTGTTCAAGTTGGCAAGTCAAAATAAAGTGTATGGATTTCATGGCATTTAACAAGTGGTCATGATCTTCTGGGAAATTAACTTTTCCTTTTAAAATTCTGCACACTTCATAAGTATTTTTGCCAACGCACCACAGGGGCCATATCCCAATCAGAGACAGACATCTCAGAAATCTAAAAATATATAAACCATGCTCGGCTAGATAACGGCAATTAGATGCATCCATTTGTCATGCAGGTCTGCAGCTGGAGAGTTTAATGAATTTCAGACTATAGAAGGATTCTGACACGTCAAACTTAACTGAAACATCCGCAAGACTGATGTAAATTGTTCAAGTGTTTTTCCTTTCCATCATTGACAGAGATAATTGAAGACTCACTCTTCTACGTCAAGGCAAACGGACAGTATTTCAATTAACCAGCCCATTCAGCTGTCAGGACATGGCGTACTTACGGCGGTGACAATAGGATAGGTAACGACAGCACTCAGGTAGGTATTGGCCAGGAACCAGCAGTATGTGGCCGATGCCCACATCAATCCAGAGAAAATACCTGAAGAGCAGACGGAGACAAGAGTGTACTTTTGTCACACTGACTCGGATACACTACGCAGGTTCTACATTTTGGCATTGAATAACTTTTGCACAGAATTAAAAGCAACATTATGCAATGTTCTGTATTTTCTTCGTCAGTTGCAGAGGTGAATTCTTCATTATTATTTGAATACAGTTTTCTGTCCGTCAGAAAAGTAGTCAAGGCAAAGCAGCCCAAGGACATCACAAGGGAACACAGTCAGTTTCCTCCATCATATATTATCCAGTTTCATCAAAATCATCCCAGCGCCAAAAAGCCTTGTGCATCATCCCAGGAGATCATACAACCCCTACACCAATGTGACAGTGCAAGAGTTTGGTGTGCAGAGAGGCAATTACAGAGGCTAGTCTTCATGAATTTGGACTTGAGAATATGTTTTTTTTTTTTTAACATTTCATACAACTTGTTTTTAAGTTGTGCTTGACAAGCAAACCGCATAATCTGTCAAAATGTCAAGCAATATTATTTTATATTTCCTTGTTAATCACTTGCATAGATTCTCTTATCAATCATATCTGTCTGCAAAACCTAGTTTTATTAGTAATTGCCTTTTAATTGAAACAAGAACAAGACAGTATGTTTTCTTGGAAACTGTAGAATGAATAAATACTCTCACTGCACAGGCAGACCTTTGTTTTTCAAGATATTTACTCAAGTTAGAGATAAAATGTACTCATGGTTGGCAGGATATTATTTGTAGTTTTCTATTGGATCCTATTAGTTTGAAACTACTAGTATGATAGACACTTTGGGGTTATCAAAGCCTACTTTAGCTTAAAAAGGGTGTACAACAACTTTTTATTTTTAAATCTACAACAAGCCCATTTCAGGATTTGTATACATTTCTTTTTAATCTCACATGAAAAATATCTGGTGAGAAATCACCCATTTTGCTCATTTTACACGAACGTCCTGCTGTTATTGGCTTCATTATTTGAGTTAACTGTACAGTGTTTTGCTTGTTCTGTACCGTTATTTGTATTCATTGTATGTTAACTGAAATATGTCACTTTGTCAGGAATCTTAGGTTTACCCAATGAAAGGAAAAGGGGTCTCTAGGATAAAGGTATGGGAACCACTGATTAAAACACACGGAATATCATCAATGCCTTTAGGTTATGCATAAAACATATCAATAAGAGCAAAAACTAAAATGCCATGATCCTAGGTTTACAGCAGTTGCAACATTGGTTATGCCACGAAACACCCGAGTGATAAAGAGTTACCTGGTAGGATGACTCTGGAGTAGACTCTGGGCCTGTTTTTCATGGCAATACAGTAGATGGCAAAGTACACGGTGCTTGTAGCAAGAATACCAGAGCACACCGAGTGAATATAGTCGAGGTCTGTTGAGAAGACAAGAATTGACAGTTACATTATTCCCTTTTCTTCCCTGTAGGTTTGCAATGAAGACATCAATTGTCCCATGCTTTAAGAGGTGAGTCAGTAGAACCAATATCAAAGTTAGAGCCACTTTAAAAGAAGCACAAAAAAGGGAAGGCGTACCATCGCAGTGACTCTCAGGAAGCTGGATATTAAACCTGGTACGCTGGAGGATCAGGTGTTATTTATAGGATAACGGTGTGATACGGTCTTAAACCCCAGAAGACATTGTAATCTTTGTAAAAAAAGGTAAAAGTGAAGGCTGGTATCAAACACTGAACCCCTACCATAGTCACTGGCTCCGTAGAACATGCTGTCTCGGAATGATGAATGGCTCTTAATGTAGAGGACGGGCGAATAGACGGAGCCGTACAGCAGGCCCGACACAACAGCAAGCAGGTAGCCTCTAAAGAAGAGTGACACTCAGAAACTGCACGGATTTCAAACCTCCACTGAAACATGTTTTTTTTTTCTTTAATAAAGCAGACCATTTCATAAAACAGACACATAACATGGCCTTTTAAAAAATATATTTCAAAGTGGATACATCATTTCTAGTGTCTATCGCCAATTGTTTTTGCATTTTACAATGTTCTGCCGTTTGCATTGAGTTTTTAAGTCCCCCTGGCTTGTCGTTTTATTTTGCTGCAACCCACCCACTTTGATTTAAGTGATGTATTAATAGTGAAATTGTGTGGGTCATGACTGAATAAAAAGGTGTACTTAAAAAATGTTGCCTGGAAAATAAATGCTTGCCAAGAGACACATCATGTTACATTTAACACCAAGCCTCCCAGCAGCTGTACACATAATACATAAGTCCTCTAGTGAAAGCCTGGGGCTTAGTTTAAAAATATATTTGTTTCTTCCTAAAGGAGCATTTATAGTTATAATGTAATCAATGTTTCATAAAATGTCCCTTGCTTCTGCTTTTAGCTGGCAAGAACAATATGTGTGCACACAGCTCACTGACTGATAAGGATTTGAGCTCACACGAAACGCCTGGTCTTCAATCCGATGATGTCTATCCAGAAGTCGGAGGAACTCGGACAATAGCTGCTCGAATTTATTCTCTGTAGAGGGTGAAAGCATCCTTATATTAAGGCATGGTTCAAAACACAAAGCATGTCAAAGTCATCACAGCATGGATGGAGTGTCCTTCAGATTCTTGAACTTGGTTCCAGTTTGATTTCAGAAATGATTTTTTTTTTTAGATAAGGCGAGGATAACAATAAAATCAAATCAATGCCCTTACCCTCTCAAGAAGTAATGGGATTGATTCAGAGATTGGATGCAGTTCCACATTTGTTTTCACACAGAAAAAGATAAGGCCACTGTATCAAATCAAAAGAAGTCACATCAGTCATCCAAAACATAACTCAATATAAGACAGTGGTGTATTTTGTTCCGTTTGCAGCTATAGAATTACTAAACTGGCAGGAAGGTGGGATACTTTCACATTTGAAGTTTACCTTAGAAGACACATCCCTGCTCCACAATAGTTTAATATTGGCCTGGAAACCTCCTCTGCAGTAATCCCAAACAAGCCAAACCTGTGAAGAAAAGTCATTTTGATGTTCACTTTCTTCTGACCAAACTGTCAATTTAAAAAGTCCCCTGCGGTGAAATCGATATAACCGGAACCAGCCACTGTCTTCAAACATTTATTTTCCCAGAATGCCCTTCTAATATAAAGTTAACTTCATCTAGAAAATAAAAAAGGAGTCAACAAAAGGAAGGAAATTCATTTCCCATTCCGAGTGGAGGAACATAACTCTGACTCACCGTGAAGTTCCCCAGCCCATCAACAAACTACAAGAGCCCCAAATCAGAGTCCCCAGGCCGAGGCCAATCGTTTTCACAATTGGAACAACCATTATATTGCCTGTGGATGGGAAAAAAAGTAAGCATCATGCAAGCCACGTACAGGTAGTATCCCTCTTTGTGAAGCTTGTGACACATGTCAACGTCATCAATAAAGTCAACAGAGGAGAATGCAGTGCAAAAGGTTTTAGGCAATCCAAACTTGGAATACATTGGAATATTTGTTTTTAAGTTTTATGCACAACTGAATGGAATGTTTGATCGGCAAAAGGCCAAATAAAATGCTATGGAATTCATTTGCAAGGCTGTATTTTTAAGCCAGATGTACAGGGCGCAGCTCAGGAACTTAGCCTGGAAACCAAAGGGTCGCCGGTTCAAGTCCCGATCTGGCCAAATAGATGGAGGGTTGACTGGTAGCTGGAGAAGAGCCATTTCACTGATGGGCACCGCCAAGTTGTCCTTGAACAAGGCACCATACCCCTGACTACTTTTGGGCGCCAGCCCCGTCGCTCTGCTCTATATACCTCTTCATTAATGCATTTCTATTGGTCCTGTTAGTGCGAGAGTGTGTGTGTGTGTGTGTGTGTGTGTGCGTGCTCATTTCCAGCTGTATGTCTGTAATATTAAAATAACACTAGAGTAAAGAACTGCATTTCCCCTTGAGGATAACAAAAAAAAAAAGGAGATCTTAACCGCTCCCCATACAACCAAAGAACTTGGGTCTATCTGGCCCTTAAAGTTTGTCATCCCTCACAGCAACAGATTCAATGTCAGCATTTTAAATTGGACTTGTGAAATAAGATGGTCCGTTTCTACATTCATCCACACTTGAAGGTGACTTGCTCCAGTGATACAAATGCATTCAATCTCATGAAAAACGTGACAAATAATTTGCTTTTACCTGTAGCCCAGAGGACACCTCCAAGCATTGCAAAAGGATGGAATTTGGGCGAGCCAAGCATTATGTCTCCAACCAAGGTTACAGCCCATAGTGCTGCACTGTATACCCAATGAAAGAACATACCTGTAAACAAAATACTTGTCATATAGGCATGCAAAAAAACGCTTTTTGATTTTACTAGAAAAAGTCCTTCTCCATACGGAAATATTTAAAAGAAAAGCAAGAACTGTATGCTTACCATCTCCAGTCTCTACTCTTTTAAGAGGAACATAGGTGCTTCCATACAACAGCACAGCAACCGCATTTGCAGCTAATCCATAGGAAAAATAAGTCATATTGGTAATTTTAACCGTTCCCAAGCTGCCTGCTGTTGCATTTTCACCACCTTCCGTATCTGGAACAAGTTTAAAGCAAAGCAAAAGACCAAATATTTTTGATTACAGACAACATGCCATCCTCAGGCTCCTTAATAACATTAAATCACAAACAATTCACTCACCTTGGTCAGCATCATTTTCCGTACTGTTCACCATCAACAATGCGGTAAAAAATATAAGCAAATGGGGGAGTTTTGATTCAAGCATGTTAAAAGTAACAGTTGTTTTCTGTCGTGTTAAACAGCAAGAGACTGTGTGTGTGTGTCTGTGTCTGTGTGTGTCTGTGCAGTGAGTAGTAAAGCTCAGCCAGGTGCTGCCAATTACCCAATCACTCACTCTAACTCACAGGCTGAAATGGATCCATTCAAACCTTTATTTAACGAGATTGGTCCCATTGAGATCATAGATCTCTTTTTCAAGGGAGACCACATGACCACAGGGAGTTAATTACTGCAGGACCGGTGGTGAGATATTTTTTTGTCTCATGAGAGCAGTTTTAATGTCATGTTTGTGGCTTTGTTAAAATATAAGATGTGCTGAATCGTAGAAAATGTTTTACTTAAATTATACATGTATTTATTATTTATTGAGAAGCCTGCAGCCAGGATTTTAAACGAAACAACAAAAAGAGAAATCATATTTCCCTTCTGCTGGAATCACTGTACTGGTTATAGCATCTTTCATGGATTGAAGTCCTTTTATTGATCTACATAGCCTTACAAAATATTGACCTTTCATTTATCATTGAGTGACTGCCTATCATCTTACAACCCTACAAGAACACTCAGGTCCTCCACTGCCTTTATTTAATAAGTACCTTAAGTGTGTTATGAGAACATCTGGGAAGGCTGCATGTGGAACAGAAGCTTCCCTTTAAATCTGAAAACAGCTAAATCCCTTTGATTTAAAAAAAAAAATACAATAGAGTCATAACTTTTTTGATTTGACTTTTAATTTGGGTTAGTTTTAGTGGTATCATGTATTATTGTAACGCTTTTTATTTCGTTTTTGTACCTTGCTTTTGGTCATTTTTGTTCATTGTCAAGGTTTTTCTGTACCTCAACTGCTCTGTTGAGCATTTTGGGATGCGTGAAAGGTGCTATACAAATAAAGTTATTATTATTAATTAAAAAAATTAATATGTTTGTTGGTGGGAAGTAACCAAGTATATTTACCCAAGCACTGTACTTGATTATTATAATCAGCTTTTTATTTACGTAACATTTCAAAGGAAACACAAATCTAGGCTGACATTATAGGCCACTCCATTACAATGGTATACCTTTAGTTGTTATAGTTAAGGATCCAGATCAATGATACAACATTAACTGACATTATATTATAGGTATATCAAAACAAAGATATATCAAGCAGGTGAGGTTGACATTTGCAGCTTCAACATTATTTCTGTCCATTGAAATGTGAATAGATGGTTTTCTATTGAAAACATTGTATTTCTACACTGTGGTATGGTACTTTGAGTACAATGTGAGTTCTTCTTCAATATCTGCACATTCAAATCCTCATGTCCTTGTTATTTTAGGAAGACAGCACATCATCAGTTATCTACATAATCTACAATACAAGTCTATATAGGCCACAACAATAGCTCTATATTTAGCCGTTTTATTTTCGGCTTCAGGAAATCCTTTTCATGGGCTCCAGGTCCAGCTCCTTCCACAGGAGGATATAGTGGTTTCCTGCTGCTAACTGTTCCACTTTTCACGTGCATATTTTGTTCAATTGTATTGTGTCTCTAAAATGTGAATGTGCGCTCAGCCAATTAAAGATGAAGGAACTGGACCAGCAGGTGTCGCCTAAAACGCGTGTATTCAGGCCAATAATGGATCAATGGTTTTAGTACTATATTTTAAGAATCCCCCTAACTCGAAAGTTTATTTATAAAACATTTGTTCATGAATTACATGTTTGCACAAACTGCTAGGATAGCTCTTGTATTCATATCCAGGGTGAAAATGAATGGGATGATATCTCCGAAACATACATGATTTTGTTGCTTTTTATAACCTGGTTATTTTTGGCAGACCATTATAGTTACCAATAAACAGATATCGTTTTTGTCCTCGGTAATTCAACGAATTTCAGCAGCATATAGTCTGAGTTAGGCAACACAAACTGAATAAATGATATCCAAGTGATTTCTGTTCTTTGTATTCACCATGTTGGATTATAGCTATATCTGAAGGTAGAAATACGTTAAAAAAAATGTTGTGTCCTCATGTTGGGTCAGAGGGTGGTTTCCCAGCCCTGTCCATCCCACGCAGTTGTCTCCATGCATTATGTGGCCACAAATCCTCCTTTCGAAGATGAGTTTCGGAAGTTGTGCGCTCCTCCCTGGTTTGAGTTTGTCAAAAAAGACACTCAACCATAATAATATCATAAGTTATAATGGGGAAGTTTCGCTTTCACTGGCTGCTCTTCCCTTTCCTAAGACTGAGCAGCAGCTACCGGAGGTGCCCTCTTTCCAACAGGAGTTTAATCATTGCCAGCGTTTGTGTAATTTATTTGTTGTTGGTTGTTTCACAAGTTGGATACTCGAAGCAGCACCGGGATAGGAGGACTGATAAAGACAAGTACCGACTCACCCGTGGATTGTATACTTTGGATATTAGTGATGCTCAATCAGACAATGTGGATTTTCAGACCGGTGCGAACTATGTTGTCCCGACACGGTCAAACGTGGTCTACATAACGCTAAAGACTAAGCGACTGAAACCTGCTAATATTCGGGGGACACTCAGACCAAAACTGAGGAAAAAAGGGAAAAGGATTACGGAGGCTAACTCAGCTTTTACGCAGAACAAACGTGGCACTTTGTTGCGGGACGTGGGCCAAATTCAGCGAAACTTTCCACATAAGAATTTCTTGGGAGAAATCAAGGATGTTCATTATAAATTATTGGATATAATCCCTACACATCATACAGATTCACAGGCAGGCTCTCACATTAGTTCTATCCGAATTTACAGTCAGAGGGCACCGCCATGGCTCAGCCCCCAGGACGTGAAAGCCATGCGCTTTCTAGCGGATGCCAACATTTTGCGCATCAAAGAAGTTATTCATGGGGATTATACGTCACTTTTAATATTTGAGGGTGAGACAAGCGTTTCATTGGGCAACCAAAGAGACACACAAGGGAACAATGTGTGTGGAGGGCAGTGTGGAGTGATCAGCAGCCCCGTGGACACCACCGAGGTGTTCGCTTTCCATCTGGACAGGGTGCTGGGGCTCAATAGGACATTACCAGCTGTCAGCAGAAAGTTCAGCTTCTTACACGGTATGTCAACAGGAGAGGACAACGTTTATTCTATTCTGACCCAATCTGGATAACACTTGGTTATAGAGCACTGTTAAAACCAAGTTAATTCACGTGATTGCTTCATCTAACAATCTAACTTGTCCTTTATGTGTGTCATCTCTAACTATAACCTCAGTCAAATTTGCATTATTTCTGTGTACGCACCTTTCAGTTCACAACTCAAAACAGAACAAACACATTTAAAAATCCCCCTGCAGATAGAGTGTATGCCAATTTGTAATAAATGTATTGTCACACAATCCTTTTAAATGTATGTAGACAGTAAATGTATTGTACAAATTAAATTAAATTAAATGTCAGTTAACTCATGTGCTATGAAGTTGAGGTCTAGTGGTGGAACATATGTGTGCTGAAGATCCATGTGCCATGTGCTTTTGTACCACACACTGAAACGTTGGCACTCAGCATGTGGGCCCACTCAGTCAGGACTATTTCCTTAGAGGCCATACTGAAAGCAGGGCCAGTACAGACAAAAAGGTATCCACATATTTGAACCTAAGACAGGTCAGGGAAGGTATACATTCTAACTTCTGAAACATGTTGAGAATGTCAGCACTGAGCTCTTAGGGGCTCAACAGTTGTCCAATTTTGTTTATTCTCCACAAGTCTTTGATTCCATCTGTGAATATAACATCTGTGTCCGTCAACAGATCATGCTTCTTAGAGTCTTCACAGTTGGTTGTTTCGTGATTTCAAATGAATGATGTGCAAAAGGAAAGTATATCAGAAAATGTATCCACAGTCCACTTTTGATCTGCTTCATTATACAGGGGAAAATGATGAGGTTTTGCTGTGCAGGTGTTTATGTGTTTACCACCGACAAAGCATTTGCATTGCTCAGTAAGCTTTTCCTCTGTAAAAATAGGCCTACAAAAACTCACTGAAACCAAACAGTTGCTGAAATCTAACCATATAATCCTTTTATCCTCACTCTGTAGATGGCCTGCCCGGGCCAGTGTTGTTATGGGATGCATCTCTCTACCCAGAAGGCCTTGCTGCAGGCAGGGCCACCGTGAGGATGACATGGGGGGAATACCAGAGTTCCCTGAAACAGAAGTGTTGGCATAAAAACATCAGCCCGAAGCCTGACTCCGACTGCTCCACGGTGCATCACTATGAGTGGAGTAAACTGGCTCTGTTTGACTTCTTACTACAGGTAACACAAGCAATATAACATTTAAAAAAGACAATAATGACTAAAATATTTGAAAAGTCCACATGATGAATAGCAAAAACATGTTTCCTTCTCTCCTTCTGTTTGCTTTCATGCAGTTGCAGCCTCTCTATGCTTCCAAAAATGTTTCATAAATGACTATTTTTAACCTTTCTTTTTGGCTGAAATGAAGTCTTCTTTCCTATGTGGAAAGCCTGGATCACTGATATTGCATTATTATCACTTATCCTGAGAATTATTTAAAATTCATTGCATGAACATTAAAGAGCAAAACTAGCAGAGTGAGTAATGAAAAAAAATGACTTTCAAATAGATTGAATAACTGTATTACTATTAAGTCTGGCATTGAGGTCAAAGTGCCACTGCTTTGACTATTTACCTTTATTCAAGTTCCTGATGAATTGATTTCGTAACGGTAAAGTTACATTTATACTGTGCAGTTAAGAGGAACAGACTTGGCACATAATAAATCTAATGAAAGACGCAAGTCATCTGAAAACAGTTAAGGTACATTGGTTTCTTTGATATTGAACAACTCTAACACATTTCACTTCATAGATATACTTTCTTATCCTTAAAATACCCTGACAGGCTGCTTACTCCTGAATACAGATGCCAAAGTTAAACTGTGCAACTGAGAAAATGTATCTCTAAAGTTAGTGTCTCAATTGTGTTTCTTTCTTGAACCATCAAAAAGCTGGTTTGATTTTTACATTACTAAATGACCAAAGGAGAAATAGCAGAAATATCATAACATTACTAAGTAATTAATTCATAACCAAATGCTTAAGCAATTGAAAACAACCATGGC